CCATTGCACAATATATTCAATCGAAACACTACAAAAATTAGCTACAGCTGCTCAAACAACATTTCAAGAATTATAAAAAGCCACAAAAAAATAAATTTAATTAACACCACTGAAAATCTCCCTTGCAATTGCAAACAAAAAGAAATCTGCCCGCTAAATAAAAATTGTAGAGCGACAAACATCATTTACAAATGTATAACATCTTCCCCAAACACACCCAGCAAAGCATACATTGGTTTATCAGAAGGAGTGTGGAAAAAGAGGTATGCAAACCACAAGCAATCATTTTCAAATAAGAAACTTTCAAATGCAACCACTCTCTCAAAACATATATGTAAAAATAGAAAAAAACTGAAAGACACACCAGAATTAACTTGGTCTATCCTAAAAAAAGCCCCCCACCTACAACAATACAACAAAAAAATGTTTCCTTTGTTTATATGAAAAACTGATCATTTTACTTGCTGAGTTAATTTCAAAGTGTCATCACGAAAATAAATTTCTATTAAGCAACCACAAACCTGAAGATTAGATACACGTGGTCGTAGCAATAAAAAAAGTTTTTTCCATATAGGTTTTTTCTGTATAGTTTCAATTGTATATAATTTTTTAAACAAACAAACTATATTTGTATTTCACCTGATGATTGTAACAGCATGAAACTTTAAGTTGTGAAATTCACATAGTTTTATTTTCTACTATATATATATATATATATATATATATATATATATATATATATATATATATATATATATATATATATATATATATATATATATATATATATATATATATATATATATATATATATATATATATATATATATATATATATATATATGTATATATATATATATATATATATACATATATATATATATATATATATATATATATATATATATATATATATATATATATATATATATATTTATATATAACATCTTTTAATGACCATTTCACTAGAGAAATAATGACCATTTCACTAGAGAAATTCTTTCAATAATTTGATTAGAGACCACCACTTAGTGGTGGTCTCTAATCAAATTATTGAAAGAATCATTTTCATTTTTATATGAAATATTGAATTAAAAAAAATGTTTTCATATTTATGGGTGTCCCAAAATTACACTTTTTTTTTTAGATTTCTATGTGCACGCAATTTTTTCCCATTCTAGTATCCCCTGATTGCAAATATATATAAAAAAAAAACATTGTCAAATCACAATTTTAGCAATATGTAAAATTCCATTTTTTGTTAAAAACCAAAACTTTACACATTTTCCTAATAAAAATACTAAAAAGTGGCAAAAAAATATGTATTTCAAGAATAACAAATTATTTTTTAACTGGGACTTGGGAAGATCTTTTTTAAGCTATTGTTGTCCCTGGCCACCAGCATTAAGTTTTGTTGCATATTGTCAGATTTATATCCACATATTGTCAGATTTATACCCACAAAAACCTGAATGAGGCGTATGTTTTTTTCAGCACAATTGTTGACGCAAGTTAAATTTTTAACAAATTTTTAAATAAATTTAATGACTTTGGGGCTTTTTCCATCCTCCACAGCTCTACTTCACCATTAGGGACTTCTGCAATTTTTAACAGAAGCCAATTTTTGGACCTACCAGTTCACAAAGCTCAGTGGACTCTGATATGATTGGTTGCTCAGGTTTTCCAATCTCGAACTTGTCAGGAACATCGAACTGAACTAATATATCCAACATCTCCTTTTTCACTTCCTGCTCTACATCATCATCAGCCAGAGATAGCAGCACCAACTGCTCAGTCAAGTACCAGGTATGTCTTTGCATACTAGCAACCAATGCTGAACCAAGATTGGGATATTTTTTTTTGATACAAAAAGCATTCTTAAAAGCCGCAAGAGGGTAAACTTGCTACTAAATACGACTTTAAAAAACCAAGGTACATACCAGACAAATGTGAAAAAGGCTGCTGTCTCTTTTTTTCCACTTTTGATCGGTTATTCTCAGGATAAGAATGTATAAAGCATCAGCCATAAACCTAAAGAGTAAGATTTTGTGACCATTAATATTTATTTATTATATTCTTTTATTTATATGTTATTTATTATACTTAAGCTTTTTTTTTTAAATATACTATACCTAGCTTCATGGCAGGCTCCAGGTTGATGAAAACACAGTCCAGGTAATTCTCCTCCCAAATAGAAAACAAAAAGCTCACATAGTTTCCTGTAATCATTCCTCACAAAAGTTTTGAGGCAAGGACCTCTTTCCCAAACTCCAGAGCTTTCTTAGCAATTTCATAAGGAGGTGACTCAACCTGAAGCTGACTCCAATCAAACCTAACTAAATCTATAATCTTGTCAACCTCTTTGTTGAAAAAATATTAATTTTTCTGAAGTTTGACATACAGCTCTTTTCTTGTGCCCTGCATCTTTTCTCCAGTCAAAGCCTCCATAAAGTGTGAGATGTGTATTTCTAGCATATGTCTTCTACAGAGAAACCATATAAGTAGAATATTAAGAAAAGAACTAGAGATAACAACAGCTCCAGAGTGTATTCCAGTATTGGATGCAGTAGTGTAACAGCAAACAGAAAATATTAGTTCTACAATGTCATAGCATTATAGCAGATTCAAAATTACTTAAGCCTAGTCATTACTTTTAAAACTTGGTGTCTGAATGACACCTAGCAATATGTCATCTGGGTCATCCATATCAGGGGATGTAATATTGACCTAAAAATAAGATCTAAAAATAACTGTTTCTACAGAAACAGTTATTTTTAGATCTTCTTCAATCTGTTTTATCCTTATTCTATCAAAATGAACACATAGCTTTTTTTCCTTAAGAGTAGTTATAATTTCTTGCCTGAGCTTATCTCCTAACATCTCAATTTTCTTGAATCTTTTTCTATAAATGGTACTTTTTGATAGATTAATATCTTCTAGATTTACACCAGCTTTATTGCAAATAGCAGCTACTAATGAAATTTGTGGGCGTATACCTACTCTGAATCGGGCAGAAACTGCAGCAGTTCCTGTCAACCAGATCTTCAGCACTTATACTTATCATTATCTTAGATTTAGTAGAATGACTGAATCTTTTAGGTAATTTTTCATCATCTGAAGAATCTAAACTAAATTCCGATTCAGAATCATTTTCAGATGAATAAAAATAAGCTTTAAGTTAATTGGATTTTACTGCATTAATTGCGATACTACCTTTACCTTTTACTTCCTCCATCCTCTTATGCCGAATATTTTTATTTTTAACTGAATTTTGTAATACTTCACCCAATTCTTCTGTAATACACATGTTTCGCTCTTTTTTTTGATCTAGATAAAATCTAATATCCTCCTTTTTGGCATTCTCCGAACAAAAACAATCCAGATTTACTTTTTGTTTAAAATTTGCCAATGAAATATCAAAGATTGTATTACTCTCCTTTAAAAACTCATTCTGTATCTTAGAGAAATTGCTATCGCTAGAGTTCCAATTCAATGATTTGAGATGATGCAGATTTATGTACTTACTATGGAGCTTCAGTATTTTATCTCTGACACTAGATCAACTGATGATAAAATCTTGAAACTCTGCTTTCTTCCAAGCGCCTATTACAGTGGAGGCAACACATCTATGTTCAAAATTCTTGCAGAAACTATCTTTGCAGATCAGATCCCTGTTCTTGTGCTTTTGAGGGCAGGCTACTTTCAACTTTGTAGATTGAAATCTTATTGATCTAAAATAAAAATAGACAAGTATTAATCCTTATGGTTTTTTGTTCTCACATAAAATTTTTTCCTCATTGTGTTTCATTTTAAATGTTAGGGAGGAGGGGGGAATATATTAGATTAAATATGTATTGGATAAAACAGATCATTTTAAAATTTTATCATTATTTTATAGTATATTTATATATAAAAAAATAATTATTTGTTCCACCTAGGAGATTTTAGAAACTGAATGTATCTCAGAATATTTCCGATGGCTGCCAGCTGGATTATTGGAAGCTCATTGATTATGTACTTCAGAAGAAACAGCAGCCTTCTTGGATTGGTTGACACGATGTACTTTCTCTTCTCAGCCTTTATTTTTTTGCTTTTTTGAGTACAACCCATTTTATTTAATACTTTTATTATTAGTTAATGCTAAAACAAATTTTTAAAAATTTAATTTTAGTGTCCCCCTAAAAAAATTACATTTAACTATACAATTTTCAAGTAAATATATGTATATTGAAGATATACATAACTATTACATAATTATATATTAATATATAATTATCAATTAATATATATTATATATATATATATATATATATATATATATATATATATATATATATATATATATATATATATATATATATATATATATATATATATATATATATATATATATATATATATGTATATATATATATATATATATATATATATATATATATATATGTATATATATATATATATATATATATATATATACAAGTTCATATTTAACTTCTAATTATTACTATAAGCGGTTAAAATAGACAAAACTGTTAAAACAAAACAATATACAGAAAACACAAAGGTTGTTCAACTAGTCATTAATATAGACCCGCTTTGTGAATCTGGCTCCAATGAACCTTCTGTACAAAATAGGCCAGCTAGACTTATTCTTATATAGTCTAAAAACATCAGTTTTCTAAATTTTCTAGGGTAAGGAGCATTAAAAATGTAAAATTGTTGCATTTTGATCTAAAAAAAGGTAAAAAAAGCTCAAATTTTATCAAAAATTAAGAAATAGAGAATTTCATATACCTTTTCAGGTATATTACATATACCTGAAATTGACCTCAGAAAAATTTTTTAGTCATAACTCAGTGGGCATATAGCAACAGGAAAAACATGCGTGCATAAAATTTTTTTTTTCGGGACACCCTAGTGTACAGCCATAAAACCAATTACAAATTTGCAACATAAAATTTTTAAAAAATTTAAAAACAAAATTTTAAATATTTTCTCACTGTTTTCTTTCACTGTTTGTCCAGCACTCACTTGACAGTTGGTAAGAGATGCATTTTCTTGGATATAGCAATTGTCACATATAATACTGTTATGAAGGTTGCTTCTGTGGATCGATAAAGTTTAATTGTAATAACTCATACAATTTATATTATTCATAACAAATAAATCTATTCTATATTAATATTAAATTTATGTTAAAATATTTGTATAATGTAAATTATTTTTGTTTTTCAAATTATAAATTTACCCTGAAGAAATAGTAACATGATTCATGATAATACAGTTTGTAATTCGCACATTTGAACAAATAACACAGTGTTTACCAATCACTGACTTTTTTATTGATGTATTCTGTGCACAAGTTGTGGACTCACCAACTAAACAATCATTACCAATCTGTTTAAAAAAAAATTAGTTTTTCAAATTTCAAAAAAAAAAAAAAAAAAAAAATTAGCTTTTCAAAAAAAAAAGTATTTTTTTCAAATCATTCATAAAACTATACGATAACACAAAGGTAGCCAAAATCATAATTACTTCTTTAAATAGCTAATTACATATATATATATATATATATATATATATATATATATATATATATATATATATATATATATATATATATATATATATATATACATATATATATATATATATATATATATATATATATATATATATATATATATATATATATATATATATATATATATATATATATATATATATAAATATATATATATATATATATATATATATATATATATATATATAAATATATATAAATATATATATATATATAAATATATATATATATATATATATATAAACATACATACATATATATACATATATATATATATATATATATATATATATATATATATATATATATATATATATATATACATATATATATATACATACATATATATATATATATATATATATATATATATATACATACACACATAAAATTAAATCCTCCTCCACTTAAGGGGGTTACAAATTTTTATTGTTATAACTTATGAATGTCAAAAGATTGTTGTATGAAATTTAAAACTTATTGCTCAATATAACTTTAGTTAAGAAATGCAAAAAAAATATTTTGCCAACTTATTACTCTCACATTTGGCCAAATTTTTGAGGCTTTTTTGTTTCCAGGCTCCAATCATTGCAATGTTTTGCAAAGTATCTTTATTTGACATAAGTATAAACATATAAATGTTTGGTGTTTGCCAGAAAGTTAGTTATCTTAAACACTGAAAAATGATGGATCTGCCCCTGTGTATATATATAGTAAAAAGAAATTGTATACATATATACAACTTTTTAATTAAAATTTCAAATAAAAAATGAATGTCCTATGACTAAAAAGTTCTTATCAAAAATTATAGTTTAAAAATGCATTGTTTTCATCTCTAAAAAACCCTAACAACAATATATTAACTTAACGGAAAATTTTTTTAAATTAAAAGAATGCTTTTTTCAAATAAAACCTATAATTGATGTATGTAGACTCCACTGTACTATTGGTTTTATCATTCAATGTATGTACATAATAAAAAGTAAAGAAAATAGTTTTAAAAATATATATTATATATACATAAAAATATATAAATATATATATATATATATAAAAATATATATATATAAATATAAATAAATAAATATATACATATGTATATATATATATACATATATATATATATATATATATAATATATATATATATATATACAAATAGTATTGCGTACTAAGGTAAGCAATCTGACATCATACTGAAATAGCCTGCTGCTGGGGGCTTCAGTACATACATCGACTGACAAATAGTCTGACTCGCAGTGGAGTGCTGCTACATCGAGTGAGGGTTTGGGATGGGGCAGCAATTGTTTCATTCATCATTCTTTGTTTTTTTTTATTCTTTTTTTAAAAAAGCAGTATGGCTTAAGGTAAGCAAAAAAAGTGAGCAAATGCTTATAAAAATACGCTTTAATAAGTGATATATATATATATATATATATATATATATATATATATATATATATATATATATATATATATATATATATATATAATGAGGTTGGTAATAATTTGCTGACCACAATCTTATAGAGGTCGGCATCAGATTGGCAAAAAAAATTTGATTTCAAAGTGTTTGAAGTTGGCAAAAAATTGCCAACCTCAAACACTTTCAGGTTGGCAGTTGGGTCAGCATTTGGCAATGCTGACCCTAATTCCAAGGACATTCAAATGCATTAAATTTTTAATGTTAATTACCTGTGATTTTTCATTGACAGCAGTTGTTGGATGTAACCTTTTATATTCTAGGTTTGGAGCAATATCTTTTAGTTTAGAAAGCTAAATAAAGTGAACTAATCAAAAAATGCAAAAATAACTAAAAAACAATAAATCATTTGTTTCAGCAAAAAAGATAAAAGTGTAGTAGTTAGCTTTTAAACTATCGTTTTAAATCATTATCATTGTATTTAACTATTCATATACATTTCTTAATATATATATATATAGTACTTAAATATCATATATGTTACTTAAAATTGATTGCATTTTTTTGGTGTTGCATAACTTATTTTAATTGTGTTACACAACTAAACTATGTAACAAAATATTTTCTTTAGATTTAAAGTGTTAATTTGAAGATCATAGAATGTGACCTTGTCACATTCTAGCATCTTCTTGATCTGTGGTCTGATGAAGATATCAGCTCTAATTTTAGCATAAGATAATTTCAGAAAAAGTTTCTTGGATGTACTTAAAAGGTGCCAATTTATTGCCAAGAGCAGTGTTAAATTGCTTGACAAGGTCTAACTTGATGTTCAGTTGGTAACATTAACACTTTCTGAGGTTCTATCAGCGGCTCCCACATTACATTGCTCTTGCTCACAGACAACTTGGCCCTTATGATGATGAAGGCTCAAGTCTCTTTTTTGTCCTATAGTGTCATAAGCTAACCTTATGACAACAGAGGCTCAAGCTTAGTAATATGTTCGAACTACATATACATATTATATATATATTTGGAGCAGGTTCGACTATATATATATGATATTTGTCTACTTGTAACAATTATATATGTATATATTTGATATTTATAACAATACCCCTTTTCTTCTGGACTTTGTTTAGAAGAAAAGGGGTATCGTTTGAAAAACCAGCCAAACAAGACAACAGTAATTCATATAAAAATGAATAAAAGGCTTGTAGAGGTAGAAAATGAAATCAGGAGTAAGGAAATTACAAGCATAATAAAGACAGGCAACCTTAGTAGATGTTAACTTTGCAGTAGATGTATATATGAGAAGTGAACCTGCAAAACCAGACAAGTCCACTCCTATCATTTTACATGCATTCAGTGCCCCAAGCATTGTAGGCATTGTTCTACGCATCTTCAAATAGGTCAGACGTGCATAATCAGACAGGTCCTTGAGATAAAGCGTGATGAAATCATTAATTTCTGCAGAATCAGTAAAGAAAACATTTTTATTTTTCTCATTTTCCCGGAATTTTTTCAGAGTGGACTTGACTGTTTTTGCAGGTTCACTCCTCACATGGTTTCCATGAGAAGTCAGAAGTGACAATCTGAGATGATGTAAATCAAATTACTCAGTAAGGGTGCTGCCATTCAGTAAATAATTGAGTTTTGTTTGAACTAAAATTACAAGCCACTGCAATCATAGAGAAATTACCATAGAGTACTTGAATTTATCAGTTTAAATAAATAAATTTTTTATATATATATATGATTAGAATGCTCAAGAAACCCATGTGGCCTTGATGATATCAAATTACACATTCTGTATTCATTGATCTTACAGAAAATATAAGGATTTTGATCTGTAAGTAAATGGATTTCCATATATGGATATGTGGAGGGGGGGGGCTAGGTTATAGACCCCACTTTTTTGTAGTGGAATCTTGTGATTTTTCACTACTTTCCAGACAAACTAGAGCTCTAAAAATTTTAGCATTTGCGTAGTACTGATGAAAGTGTGTTAAAATTGTTTCTAGGGCAGATGGATCTATAAGGTCAGGGGCCATGCTCCACTTTTCTCAATAAATTTTTTTTTTTTCATTTTTAATAAAGAGAACTTTGAAAATAATGTCTTCATAAGAATTTTTTGGTTTATATTTGTTCCATTCGACTTTTGATCATTCTGTATTCAATGATCTTTCTTAAAATGTTTTAAGAAAGTATATGTTTATAAGATTTTTGATTTGCAAGTATATGGATTAAAAACAGTCACCCATCTAAAATAATCATTTTAACTGAATTTTAGATTGTATAATTTTAAACTTTTTGAATTGAAAAGAAAACAGGTAGAACAAATTTGATCTGTCGGACAGCAACAACTAAAGAATACAAATTGATGTTATCAGAGGCAATAAACAAGCTAAAAAAGTCAAAGCATGTTACACCCCATTGCCCTCTTTTTACTAAACAAAATGACCAGCTTAAAAAAAAATCATTTTGCTTTATGTCATAAGATAATAAGCATGACATAGGTTTTGTGTATGAAGTTCAGACACAAAAAGTAAACTATTTAAAAGAAAATCATCCTAATATTTCAAAAATTCTTTATTTTTTTAGATGGTTGTGCTGCACAGTATAAAAACTACAAAAACCTTAACAATTTCTGTCTCCATAAAGATGATTTTGGACAATTATTGCTACAAGTCATGGTAAGTCATGATGTAATGGTATTGATGGCACTGTAAAACGATTAATGGCAAATGCAAGGCCCATAAATAACCAGATAATGAATTGTAATAAAATGTTTGACTACTGTACATATAATATTAAAGGGATAATTTTTTCTCAAGATTGAAAGACAGAAGTGTGCGCCACTTTGAAAAAATATTTTCAGCTAAGTAGAACAATTCCTAGAACTAGGAACTATCATCAATTTAACCCAGAATCTATAGATACTGTTAGCTTTTAACAAACAAGTGAAGATTTTAATATATAAGGCATGATTTCTTTTTCTGGTATTCAAAGTATTCAACTTAATCACCTAATTAACATCAATACAATAAAATTTGGTGAACTTATTCTGTGTAAACATGATACATTTCATAAAACAATCTTGACACTTTATATTTTTGTATTTTATTTTGTAAATAATTAAAACGGAACAAGTACAAACCAATAAAATTTTTGAAAACAATATTTTCAAAGTTATCTTTACTTTATTGAAAATGGGAAAAAATAAATAAATTTAATATGTGTATATCAGGACTACAGAAACAGTGAAATTTTCAGAGCTGCAGTTTGTCTTGAGGTAGTAAAAAATCTATCACAAAATTCCACTACAAAAAAAGTGTGGCACTTGTCCCAGTCTTCCATTTATGTCTTGGGATCCTGAAATCAATTTTAACATGCACATTCATTGGGACTACAAAAATTCCAAAAGTTTTAGAGCTCTAACTAGTCTGGAAGGTAGTAAAAAATCAATCACAATATTCCGCTACAAAAAAGTAGAGACCATGCCTTGTTATCCATATATAGAGATTCGTATACTTGCAGATCAAAATCTTTATATTTTTTTTAAGATAAATGAATATAGAATGATGTGTGAAACTTTTTTTTTGACATCATCAAGACCTCATGGGTTTCCTGAGCATTAAAAACAAGTATATAAAAAATTGCCTAGATTTAATGAAATTGACAATTACACAAGCCTTCACAGGAAAGGTGTGCGGTTATTTGTCTTGTATGACCACACACAAGTATTTTACTTTAGACAACTTGGTCACGGCCATTTGCAAGTTTTATATATTAATCAATGTGGAAAAAGTTTCAAAAACAAAAAAAGCATAACTAACAAAATGGGAAATAAAAAGAAATTTAAATGGAATAAAATAAAATAAAATTAATAATTTAAATAATTTGTGTATTGTTTTTATTTTTGTTTCTTTAAAGTGGTTGATACATTCAGCAACAAAATTAGATAAGATGAAGCAAAAAAAAAGTCTACATTAAAAGTCTACAATAAAATAAAAGTCTACAATAAAAATGATTTTCCTTTATTTAACTGTTTTTGAAGAAGAAAGAAATATAAATTGCAATGTGTTAGTAAAATATATTTGTTTAATTTTAATGTAACAACAAGGGTTGAATTAAGCGATCATGAAATGCAAAATTTGGTAAACTGGTCTTCAAAAACTTAGTCATTTCTAAAGGGTGTTCTTTGTTTTCAAGAAGCGAATCAACTTAAATTTGTTAGCGAAAAAGTTATAAAAAATAAAACAATAAACTTAGGACTACAAAAGTAATAACACTCTAGTAACTAACTGCATTATAAAAGTAATAACACTATAATAGTGTTATTACTTTAATAATGCATTTATAACTTTTATAATTCATTCTTTGTTCAAGCAACATAACTAATTCCAAATTTTAATTGAAGCAGAAAAGCATCTAGAAAAATACAGTGGATATTCAAATAATATTTAAAACTTAAGGAACTTAAACAACTTTATAAAAACATAATGTATAAAAAATTTAACCTTATGAAAAACGTTACTAATAACCTGTAAAAATGCGCGTTTAATTTTAAAATCAACCAATAAAAATTTTATTAAACCAATAAAAACTTTTTACGTTATATTTTATAAAGTTGTTTAAGTGATTTGTAAAAGTTCCTGATGTTTTTAATAATATTTGAATATCCACTTTATTTTTTCAAGATGCTTTTCTACTTTAATTAACATTTGGAATTACTAATGTTGTTTGAACAAAGAATGAACTTTAAAAGTAATAAGTGCTTTATAAAAGTAATAACACTATTATGGCTTTATTACTTTTATAATGCAGTTAATGACTTGAGTGTTATTATTTTTGTAGTTGTAAGTTTATTGTTTTTTGTTTTTTTTTATAACTTTCTTGCTAACGAACTTATAATAATTTGATCCTTGAAAACAAAGTTTTTAAGGCTTTGCATAAACTAATATTTTGAAGACCAGATATTTTTATTAGTTTTCAAAAAATGTGATTGCTTAATTCAACCCTTGATATATACTTGTTACATTAAAATTATACAAATATATTTTACAAACAGATGACAATTTATATTTTTGCTTTCCTTTTTTAAAAAAAAACAATTAAAACATAGGAAAATCATTATTTTTAATGTTTAAAACTGTTTTTTTTTTTTTTTTTTTTTGCTTTGACTTACCGAATTTTGTTGCCAAAAATAATAACCACTACGAAGAAACAAAAAAAAAAAAAAAAAAAACAGTAAACAAATTATTTAAATTATTTTTATTATCATTTTCTAATTAAGCTTATTTTAATTTTATATTTTGTTATTTCGCTTTCTTTGTTTTTGAAGCTTTTTTCAGCAACACATTTAATAAAACTTGCAAATGGCCATGACCAAGTTGCTCATACATGGACATACAAGACAAAAAACCACACGTGTTTCCTGGGAAGGCTTGATTACAGGTACTTAATAATAATTTTTTACACTTCTAATCATTTCATTGGATTTTTCACCCTTAAAAATAGCCAGTTACAAATTTTTAAGTAAAAAAATTAAATATTTTTAAAGTTATGTGATTTGAAACCTCTAATAAAATGTTGCAATTCTGAGAGGAAAGAGGGAGATAGCCAATATCTGCTAAAAGTAAAACGGTCATGTTTTCAGGATCTTCTTTGAGCCAGAGGCTAAAATTTTCAAGGAATTCTTATTTTAATAAGCACTCTGAACTGTATAAAAATCAGCAAAATCTGAGATGTATGGTGATGTGACCTGGGTCATTTGAAACATGGAATTACCCCAGTGACCTCTTGCTAAATTCAATTCAAACCAGTTTCATTTACAATAAGACTTGTGTTTATTGTATGCTCAAGTGTTCAGCTTCACCATATTTTCTGTTGTCTAAAATTTTTACCAGTGCAACTCTAAGTAGAACTTCCAAAAGCATTTTATATATTTAGATTTTTTATGCAAAAATTTTGATGTTTGGATTCTTCCCTTTTATCTAGTGTTTAATGATATAGTATGTGATTTTCTGTTAACTTATGTTTTTCCAAAATAACATATCTTAAGCTAAATCTTGCTCTCTGAATGCTTTGCCTATAATGTTTTTTAGCATTTATCAATCTATTCAATTATTGATTGCAGATTTGTTCAAAGTGAGTTTGTAAACAATACAATGAAGACAATGTGCAGGTGATGAAGATGAGTTTGTGATTCGCATTAAAAAAAAAAATAATTCTTATGCTACAGAAATAATCTCCATGGACCTTTCTTTTTTATTTTTGGTGGTGGAAGAACTATTATCAGCATATCATGATATCATTCTTAAAAATATATCATCACATATCATCCTTATGAGTATGATATCATCACATCAAATATCATCTTTAGAAGTACTACTATGCAATAGATGATAAGTATTTAAATTAGATAAATAGCAAGTTTTTAAAACCTTTCATAAATTTTTAAAACCACTATTTAAAAGTACAAACTAATAGAGTTTCTCAAAAAATCTGCAACCTCTCTCCCAAATCTTTCTCCCATTACAACTTTATTATGGGAGAAGCTTTAAATGTTTTTATAATGCATCCTAATTTAAAAAATCAAAAATATAATGCTATATAAACATAAATAAATAAATTGTATCAATATATTCCATAAAAAACCATTTAATATTTTTAGGAAAAAAAAAAGTTTATATACTTGTCGATTCATAAAAATGTAGGATGGAATAGTGTTCACTCTAAGACAGAAGGAATCACTGACATATACATGACACTTGATTGAATCTTTTAGACAGCTTCCTTGATAACTTGAATATTCAGTTATATATTTACTTTCTTTGCTACTAGGGAGAAATGAGTGAATGTCTAAAAAAAATTTAATACCAAACTGCATATAATAGTATTTAGTATAACTATAACACACACATATATACACACAGACACACACACACACACACACACACACACACACACACACACACACACAAAATACGGGCAACCACGACAAGCTTGGATAACATCTGATATAAAGAAACTAATTAATGAAAAAAAACAAATATGGTCTAAGTTTATTGCATCAGGCAGAAATAATCTTAAATTATTAGCAAAATATAAACTTATTAAAACTAAGACTCAACATTCTATTAAATTAGCTTTGAAACAATTTGAACTTGACATAGCTAAAAGTTTTATAACAGATCCTAAAAGATTTTATGCATACGTGAACAGCAAACAAAAGTATAAAGAAGTAATTCGCACTTTAAGGTTTTCAGATGAAACTGTGAGTGATAACCTTTTAGATATTACAAATTTGTTAAACACATATTTTCAATATGTATTTATTGAAAACGATAACAAAGCCTTACTAATGTTTAATCCTGTTACTCATGTCCACTGTAAAAATGATATAAACAAAATAATTAGTTCAAAAGAAATTCTTGTACAGTTAAATTCATTGGATAAATACAAATCCTGAGGGAATGATGGAGTCCATCCATATTTATTGAGTACCTGTTCTTTAAGCCTGAGTATTCCTGTTGAACATATTTTTAAGCTATCAATTAAATCGGGAGCAGTACCAAAAGCATGGAAAGAATCAAACATAGTTCCGATTTTTAAAAATCGCGATAAGCTTGATCCTTCCAACTATAGATAACCTGTTTCTCTCACGTCAGTTATATGCAAAATTTTAGAAAGGATATTAAAAAAAAAACATCATTCGGCGTCTTTTAGACAATAGTTTGATAAACAAGAATCAGCATGTTTTTTTTTACCAGGTAAATCTTGCTTTCCAAATTTACTTGAAAGCCAAGATATTGTAACTCTAGCAGTAGATCAAGATTATCCTATTGATATTTTTTTTACTGACTTTTTTAAAGCATTTGACAGAGTTCACCATAGAAAACTTATATTAAAAATTGAAATGTACGGTATAAAGGGATTCATTCTTCAATGGATTGAGTCTTTTTTATCAAATAAAAGACAAAGAGTTGTTCTTGAAAACATTACTTCTATGTGGCTTAATATTTTAAGTGGTGTACCACAAGGATCTGTTCTGTGACCAATTTTGTTTTTAATTTATATTAATGACCTTTCGAATAAACTAAAAAAAAAGCAAGCTCTATGCTAATGATTGCAAAGTTTTCCACATAATCTGTGATATCAGTAGTAATGATCTACAGGATGACATAAATTCCATTTTCAACTGGCGCAATGACTGAAGTATGCAACTAAATATAGAAAAATGTAAAATAATGCATATCAATAAAAGTAATAAATTAAATAAAAATATTAATAAATATTACATTTCTGATTATCAATTGAGTACTGTGGACTGTGTAAACAATCTTGGTATCATGTTTAAAAGCAATCTGAAATATGGTCATCATATATCTTTGTGTGTTTCTAAAGTAAATTTTAGGTCTTATCCAACACACGTTTTCATTTTCAAATGCTGATATACTTGAATTGTTATGTTTCGTTAGTACGCCCTCATCTAGATTATGCGCCTTCTATTTGGAATCCATTTTTTAAAAAAAACGTTAATCTTATTGAAGGAGTACAACATAGAGCAACAAGACTAATTCCAGGATATTCAGAGCTTCTTTATGAGAAAAGATTAAATAGACTTAATTTACCTAATCTATGAGAAGAGAAAGAAGCAATTTAATTAACTTTTTTAAATAACTTAATAATTCTTATCAGCTAAATACAGTATCTTCCCTAAGGAACTTTTGTTGAGCAACTGGACCAGCTGGAAGTGTTCATAACTATATCCACAATCATAGATATACTTCTGAAACCTGTACACACTCGAGTAGAAGAAATTTTTTTTCCAATCATATTATTCCAATTTGAAACAATTTGCCGTTTGATGTCAAACTTAATGAGTCAGTGTTAAACTTTAAAAAAAGTCTTGATGAACTTTATTATGTGAAATAAAATTTCAAATTGTAGTTTTTAAACTTGCTGCTAAAGTGGATTTCCACTCATTGAGCATTTGCTCACCGCAGCAAATAAATAAATAAAAATAAAATAAAAAAATAAACCTAAAATTGAAAAAACTTTTTTGCATAACCACATTTATTGACAAATTATTTTAGACTGAGAGCAAGTTCTAAAAAAATTTTGGTTAAAAAGAAATGTTTATTATTTTTCATAGAACAGTCATAAATACTTATTTGTACTATTTTATGTTATTATTATGGAAGACTATCATTCTCACTGTACTTCTATAGGATAAAATAACACCAAATGTTTTTGGTGTTATTTTATCATAAAAAAGGCTCAAAATATGACTAAACATAACCATAAGCAATTTTGTGCAACCTTTTATAGGAAATTGTTTAAGTAACATAAATTAAATAAATCTTAAGCAATATGTGTGTATGTATATTTGAAAACTTTTTTACCTTTACTATCATCACTTTTGACAGTTTTTAGTCCCATATCCTTAACTGACTTTTTCTGAACTGAAAATTGTTTCCGAACAATTAAAGGAATAGCATCAGATTTTATGTTTTCCAACTTACTAAAAATAAAATTCAACATTTTTCAAAATTGCAATCAATATATATATATATATATATATATATATATATATATATATTCTGAAATATATATATTCTGAAAATAAATTTTCAAGGCTATTTACAAATAGTATTGAAATACTAATCTCAAGTAAATACCTAAAAAAAATAATTTATATATATACAATTAATCTTAATAATAATAATAGCAATAATAATAATAATAATAGCAATAATAATAATAATAATAATAATAATAATAACAATAGCAATAAAGTAATTATAATAATTTAAATAATCGGTATTTTCCCTACAGCAATCATTTTTACATGCAAAGTTACAGTTACAAACAGTAATAAACTGACAAAACGTAACAACTAACGATGACATAAAAACGACTACTACTAAAAAAAAATTAAAGATTTAGTAAATATATTAATATAATCATAGTTGTAAAAATATAATAATCAAAATATATTGCAAATATTATGACCAAATAAATAAATATAATATAAACAGAAAAACACTGAGAAAATCAAAACAAAACAAGTTTACAACAATCATTACGAAACAAAACAAAAAACTATGCAAAATAAACAAAACAAACAACAACAACAAAAAAACTTAAAATTAAAAAAGATAATAACAAAAAACGGTAGAATTAAACATATATAATAAATGGCTAAAAATGAAAATAAAAACAAACAATATATAACTGTATAAAAAAGTTATATACCACTAAAAATAAATAATAACTAAAAAACAAACAAATGACTAACAAAAAATAACAAGTAAAACTATATACGCTAAAAAATTGAAGAAAAATAAATAATTAATAAAATAAATAATCCTAAGAAATATATGAAAGAAAGCTAAAAAAATGTATGAAAAATAAATAAAAATCTAGATTTGCCGATCGAGGTTCATCTCTTTAAATTTTTTTTTTTTTTCATTCTTTGGCATTGTT